CCCAGGAATTTGCTTAGTTTCTCCCAAATGAGCGCAGATTGCTATATCTCACAGCCTAAGTATAGTCTTCAGTAAAGCAAAAATACAGTACCTAGAAAAACCCTTGGATTTTTCTGCACAGCCACTGACTTAGTTTGGACAAAGTTTATGCTTAGAGACAGAGAGAGGACACATAAATTCTCTGCACTGTGTTGCATTATCTTTTCTTTCCAAGGGAGCAGAATCTTCCACTGCACTTGGGGATTTGTGCTTGCTGATCCCTGCTATTAGCACCTGCAGGTAGCCTTTGCTCGTGTCTGCACTGGCTTATAACAACATCATCTTCTGTGTGCAGGGACACACCAAACCCAGGCCTGTGTGTGTGTGTTCTGATATCATTGCCTAGATTAACACTGGTTTCCAGTATGTTTTTCTTTAGGTATTTTCAGGTGTGCTGAGAGATGCTTTAGAATGACAGTAAATCCCAAATGAGAGGTTTGGGCATTTACAGCAATTCCAATGTTACTGTTGTAACTTAGGAAGTTGTAGAGAATGACAGTGGTTTTATCACATAAGTATTGCCCAGGATTATGCTTAGCAACAGAAATGATGACTGGCAAGCCTGGAAGAGATGTTCCACCAAATGAGCCACGCTGGAGCCGTCAGTGATTCACTCGTTGCTGCACACGGGTTTGTGGCATGTCTATAGCTTTGTGAACGTTGATTTTCAGGGACTGCAGGGAGAGTTCAGTTGGAACAAAGGTGTTTCTGGTAGAGTACAAGCAACCAGACATCCTTTTCTCTGTGGAAGACGATGACAAGAATTTCTTAAAAGAAATGGCCGCACGGGTAAGACTCAGCAATTATAAGTCCTTGTGTGAATATAAAATGTTGTACGTATGATATTACTTGGAGATTAAACGGTGACTGCCTATATTTGTAATATATTTTATTTTCTCTGTTTGCACATCTTTGCTGCCTTGGTTCTTTTGGTGATATTAAAATTTCAAGGAGACACTTTACTTTTTTTTCCCAGTGACCTCTTATGACCAATTCAGGTCAAATATTTTTTAAAATGCATTTATAATTTAAGCCTTTCCAATGCTTCCACCAAAAATAAATAGCTTCATCATGTTCTTTTGAAATTGTAACAAATAGCTATAACGAGAGGATTAGAGCAAAAGCAAAAATTTCGCTTGGAATTCAGATGCAGTTCCTTTTTAGAATAGGGTAGGTGGGATGCTTCCTGCGAGGCCAAAGAAGAATGGACTGGATGTGAAAATCAAGCCTGCCTGGGGTGAAGTGCCCCAAGGCTTTCAAGGTATGGTATTAGTTCATAAAACTGAGAGAGTCTTCTGTTTTAGCAGAATATAGTGTGAAGTTTTCCTCTTGTACCACCCATAAAATAGGGGTACTTTTAAAACCATCTCAGAAGACAGAATGTCCTCTGGAAATTCCAGTTTTGATTGCTCAACACTGCAAAGAGAGAGCAAGAATTACCTTCCATACATTTCACATTACTTGTTGAAAACATACTAAAATGTCATTCATCTCCCAGCAACATAACAAGGCCCAGTCTGTATTTCCCTTTGTGCCAGAAAATGCCCTTAAATTGATGGGATTGCAAATCCTCTACAGAGTTCTTTGCTGATGTTTGCTTGCAGTAAGATTCCAAAATAAATACACAAAGCAGCAATGAAAGCTTGACCCAGATTTTCTCTGTAGATAAAACCTGTTATTAGATGGCCACAGCAGTGGGACTTTAGGAGCAGGGAATTGTATGAATGTTTACTCGTTACTTTTCGGAGCTGGTTTTTTTTGGGCATGCATGAAGGAAGATAACTGTAAATAAAGAAAAAAATGCAAAAGTAAGCTCTTTCAGAGAAGCACGAGGTCTCTTCTAGTTTAATTTCCTGTCATTCCATGCAGCTTATTTGAGCCCAAAATCTGGATGTCAAATACATTTTTAAATAAGCTTAGTGAGAGTATGTAATACTCATGTTAAGTGATATATTATCTGCATGAAGCAGATGACAGTGGAATAACCAGATTGTAACTTTAATCTTGGAAACAGAAAGAAAGACTCCTCACAGATCTCTGCAAGGACCACTGCTCCTTGGCAGTCATTTGGGAACAACAGCATACAGGGAAGAATCTGTGTCAGCACCACCAGTAGAGTCATGTAGGGTGAGTAAAGGGATGCTGAGGAGAACTGCAGAAGGTCTAAAAAGATAGATGTGAAGATTTGTGATCTCTCTCAGGTATTAATGACTTTTGCTGTATTCTACAGTACTGATTTAAATGTGATGGTAGTGACACACTAGAATAAGAATGCCCAAAGCAATATACAGTTATCAGTAAGGACAAAATCTGCCAAAGGAGATTAACAGTGCCTGCATTCCTACTAATTCTTTTCTAGTACTTTGCTGAATCTGCAGTTACAAAATATTTATTGCTGTATGCTGGCAAGTTAACATTTCAGACTCAATATTCAGTACTGCTGTTGTGGAAGCAAATAGCAAGACTTGGATTTATTTTTACTGAAAGAAGCTGTGGGTCCATAATGCAGCCAGTGGAGGAATCAAGCATAGTAGACATTCCTTAACACAATGAATGCCACTGCAGTTTGTTTCAAATAACATCTTTAGCTAATTTTGGTACTCTTATAGGCATTTTGCAAATATTTTCTTACTAAAGAATTGCCTTTATTTCAGTTTGCAAGTTCTTCTGCAACAACTAGTCGGAAAAGCTTAGCAAGCACGCAGGTGTCAAGGATCCAGAGGGAAACAGATTTCCTCAAGTAAGTGATGTCGCCTTTTAAGATATTTGTCCATGGAAAGTATCTCAGAAATTACCTTTTGCAACCAGGTTGCTCTATAAAAATGAGGAAAGCAAATCAGACACTGGCTTATAAGGAGAATACAATCCACATAAGTCGTTGAAAATGCTTTCTCCGACGTGTAGTTTTGTTTACACTTCACCATACACGGTTATCAACTATCTTATCTCTTAAGAAAATTCCTGACACCTGTAGGATCAGAGGGAAAACTCTTTTCAAATTATAGTACACCCTCACTACTGAAGGTGAAAAGTGCTCACTGGAGTAGTCTCACAGAACATTAATGCCTATCAGTATTGAAGGGTTCTGTGGTGCAGCAGTGAGGCCTGATACAAACTGCTTGTCAGGAGACCTGTTTACCTCACGTGGGGAGGAAGAAAGTATGTAACTCACTATGGAGTTCCCTTTCTACAATGCAAGGTAGAAAGAGTTTAAACTCGGTTTAGAGTTCAGAACTCATCTCATGGGTGCTGGAGCAGGGTCTGGTGGACCACCACAGCTTGGAAACTACATCTGAGAAATCAGTGACCTAAGTCCTGTCACAAGTTCCTGATTATTAATGATTATGCAGCAGTGCAATACTAAAACAAGCTCAGCTAGGTTGCTCTTATTTTCAGATGTGCATACTGTTCTGCACCTCGCCTGTCTGACCCCTTGGCTCACTTCTGTCAGGAGTGTGGATCTCCTATCCCACCTGTGCCAGTACATCGCTTGCCACTCCCTGAAGGAACACAGGTCAGCAAAACATCATAACAATCAACACATCATCTTTGGAGAAAAAAACTTCTTCATCAAGTTACACAATAGTGGCAAAACCAGTAGTAACAAAAAAAGCAACAAAAAATAGTAACAAGGTGTTGCTTAGACATACTTTCATTCAGAAGTTCTGTTCTAATTGTTTTGTTTTGTTCAATACCTTTAGCAGTGGACCTGATGAAATTCTTAAATGATGGGCAAAATTAACCATAGATCTCTTCAAGTGCCATGTATTTTAATAAGGGAAACAATGAAAAAGTAAATTGGGTTTTATTTGCCCATTTCAGGAAACAATGCCAAATTCTAACTACTTCTCAGCCAGCAGCAACAACCACTGCATCTTCAGGACCTGAATACACATCTTAGTCCAGCGCTAACTGGTGCAGTTAGTTAGCTAGTAACTAGTGTCTATGTCATAGTTCTAGAAGGTCCATCTAATATTCCTGAAACCTTAAATGGTAGCATGTATGGGCATATGTAAGAGCACCAAGTTTTTGCAGTGGTGCCTGTAACTGTCTTCTCTAAGCTCTTCTTCCCAAGAGATAACAACCCAGTCTAACAAGCCAATGGTGTGTTTTCTTTCCTGTACCATCCAAAAGATGTCTTGTCTGGAGCAATGGTGTAGTTTTACATAATGACCAGGAATATTCAAAACCTCTTAGGTTTACGTTCATAGTTAGGAGAATTTCAACTACCCGTACATATTTTATAGTAGCATTTTAATTTTACTGGAAAACTAACTTAGTACCTTTCTGGCATATTTTGAGTAGTCTGTAAAGCATTCTCTTTCCAGTTGTCTTCATACTCTCTCAATAGCCCTTGATCTTTAAGGATCAATATCAGTACACGTGGCTGTCAGTTGCTATGTTTCCAGTGACTTTGCTGCCGATGTAGACTCCAGCTAGGAAAATATTGAAAAACTCTTGATAACCTTGATGATCTCATTATGGTCCTTAACATGATGTGATGTGGCTTATTCTTCAGATGGCACCGTGTCTTGAATGCGGACATCTTGTGCCAATGAATACACCCACTTGCATTGTATGTGAGTCACCAATAGCTCCACAGCTGCAGCCCCAAAACAACATCTGCATAAAGGTATTTGAGAATAGATATACCAAATTAGTGATTTAAGTCCTGGCATGCATTTTTCTAACCAATTACTTCATTAGAAATATTTTGATCCAACTTGGCTTTGTGTAATTACATTATGACAGCTTTAAGAGTTAGCAGGATTAAAAACACTTTGAATGGAAATAATGATTAAAGGTAAACCACATAAGCTCAGGAAGGCATGCTGAAGAGAGCACGATGCAGCTGTGGAGTGTGGAGCGATGGCTCCAGGTTAGTGACTGGACCAATGATCTTAACAGTCTTTTATCACCTAAATGATTCTGAATCTGGGCCACATTGTAGTGGGTATCTTTTGTAGGCCATTTAACCAGGAAAAAACAGTGGATGAGGCCCTCTGCAGACAGCTAGAAGGAGGTTCATATTTACAGGCCCTGGTCCTCATGGAGGAATTTAGGCACCTGATATCTGCTGGACAAACAAGGCAGTAGGGCATAAGCAATTCAGAATTTCCTGGAAAGTGTCAAAGGCAACTCCCTGACACAAGTGGATGAGGAGCCAATGAGGAAGGGTGATCTGCTAGGTGTCCTAGTCTTAGAAGGAAGGAAGGCCTTTTTTGGGATGTGAAGGTCAAAGACAGCCTGCAGTGACCACTAAACAGGAGTTCAGGACACTGAGAGGAAGGAGCAGGGGCAAAAGCAAGATCACAGTCCTGGACTTTAGGAGAGCAGACTCAGGGTTCTGCTTGAAAAAGTCCCATGGGATAAGGCCCTGGAAGAAAGAGGCATCCAAGAAAGCTAGTAATGATTCAAGGGTCAAGCTCAAGAGTAGTCCATCCTCATGAGCTAGAAGACAGGCAAAGGTGTCATGAGCCTTACATGGATAAACAAGGAATTCCTGTCAAAATTCAGATATAAAGAGGAATTATACAGAAGGTGGAAGCAGAGACAGGTAACCTAGGAGGAATATGCAGAGGTGTTGTTAGGAAAGCTTATGGCATTGCATCTGATGAGGGATGTCAAAGGCAACAAAGGCTTCTATAAGTATATAAATACCAAAAGGAAGACTAGGGAAAATGTGGGCCCACATCTGAATGGAGTGGGGAGCATGACACAGGACATGAAAAATGCTGAGCTACTGACTGCCCTCTTCACTTCAGTCTTTACTAGTAAGATCAGCTTCAGAAATTCACAGCCCTGGAGATCAGGGGAGAAAGTCTGGAGGAAGGAAGATTTAACCTTTGATGGAGGAGAATCAAGTTAGACAATACTTCAACACACTGGATGTACATCAGTTCATGGGCCCCTGATGGGATGCACTTATGAGTGCTAAGGAAGCTGGGTGATGTCACTGGGATTGTTCTATAATCTTTGAACAAGCATGGTGATTAGGAGAGGTTCCTGGGGAAATAAAGTCTTGTTCCTATCTTTAAAAAGGGCAAGAAGAGGACTCAGGGAACTACAGACTGGTCAGGCCCACCTCAATCCCTGGGAAGGTAATAGAGCAAGTAATCCTGGAAACCATTTCCATGCATGTGAAGGACAAGAAATGATCAGGCATAGTCAGCATAGATACACCAGAAGTTCGTGCTGCCATCCAGAGGGACCTGATAGAGAAATAGACAGGAACCTCATGAAGTTCAACAAGGAGAAGTGCAAAGTCCTACATCTGGGAAGGAAAAAACTCTGCATCCATACATGCTGGGGGCCATCCAACTAGAAAGCAGCTTTGCAGAAAAGGACCTGAGGATCTTGTGGACACCAAGTTGACAATGACTCAAGCAATGTGCCCTTGGGGCAAAGAAGTCTGTAGTATCCTGGTTGCATTTAGGAGCTGTGTTACCAGTGATCCTTCCCGTCTACTCTGCACTGGTGAAAAGCAGCTTAAAAGGACCTGAGGATCTTGTGGACACCAAGTTGACAATGACTCAAGCAATGTGCCCTTGGGGCAAAGAAGTCTGTAGTATCCTGGTTGCATTTAGGAGCTGTGTTACCAGTGATCCTTCCCGTCTACTCTGCACTGGTGAGGCTGTGTCTGCAGTACTGTGTCTGGTTCTGGGCTCCACAGTACAAGAGAGACATGGACGTGCTGGAGAGAGGATCTTGTGGACACCAAGTTGACAATGACTCAAGCAATGTGCCCTTGGGGCAAAGAAGTCTGTAGTATCCTGGTTGCATTTAGGAGCTGTGTTACCAGTGATCCTTCCCGTCTACTCTGCACTGGTGAGGCTGTGTCTGCAGTACTGTGTCTGGTTCTGGGCTCCACAGTACAAGAGAGACATGGACGTGCTGGAGAGAGTCCAACAAAGATCCACAGAGATGATTAAGGGACTGGAGCATCTACAGGAAAGCGCGTAGAGAAAAGAAGGCTCAGAGACAATCTAATCAATACATATACCTGAAGGGAGTGTGCAAGAAGACAGACCCAGGCTCTTTTCAGTGCTGACAGTGATTGATAGAACCAGTGGCAATAGGCACAAACTGAAACACAGGAGGTTCCATCTGAACATCAGGAAACACTTTTTTACTGTGAGAGTGACTGAGTACCTGCACAGGTTGCCCAGAGAGGCATATATAGAGATATTCAAAAGCTGTTTGAATATGGTCCTGGGCAAGCCTAGGTGACTCTGGTTGAGCAGAGGGGTTGGACTAGGTGTCCTCCAGATGTGCCTTCCAACCTCAATTTAATCAGTATCCCCAGGCTGAGTCTGTTTTGCCCATGATGGTAATCAGTGAATGATGGCTCCCTGCCCTTATCTAACCTACAAGACTTTTATTGTATTTTATCTCCCTTGTCCAGCTGAGGAGGAGAGTGACAGAGCAACTTTGATAGGCACCTGACATCCAGCCAGGGTCAGCCCACCACAAGTACATGCTAGACATTGGCTGAAATGTAATGTTTTATGGCAGCATTGATGTAGGTGCAAAGGCAGACCTCAACTATTTCATGGCAACAATCAAAATAGCAGACTCCTTATTCTTAGCTCTGGTAGAAACCCAGCTGTTAATAGTGACTATGCTAAGACCTTCTATGGATCTTTTAGGGCACATTGTGGTATTATATTATTATTAATTGTTTTCCTTGTTGATACTGGACTGTCTGTTTTGTGTGAGTGCAGTGACTAAGCAAACTGACACTAGTATGTATGTATATGTATACTGACACTAGTGAATATACATAGTATATATCTGGAGGTATTGATGCTGGATCTCCTGAGGAAACTGTACAATAATTTAAAAAACAATAGTCACCAAGATGCATAGATTTGTGATGACCAGGAAATATGTGCTAACTAAAGTCTGAAACCCACAGCATAGACTTGAAGGATCTCTTCCATCTGCAGGGCTGAATAACCACTTTATAAGATTACTTCAAGAGGACTCTTCTTGTTGTTCACAGTTTTCAAACACTATGTGAAATGTATTCTTTTTCTTTTTAAAAGGGCAAAGTAATTTGTCAGGTCTGTGGCACAGGAAATCCTCTTCACCATAAACTCTGTGCGACTTGTGAGAGCAAACTGCCTGAGGTACAGATGGTAAGCCTTCTTGCATCAGTCACACTGGGTTGATCAAATCAAAGAATAACATTCTTTATCTTTGGAAAACTGAAGTCATATCCCTGTGTCCCTTGTTACAAAAGCAGAGATTCTCTTCCCTATGCCATATTCAAGCCCAGTACTCCCACAGATGCTCCATCACAAATGTCCAGCAACGTAAATGTATCATATACCTTCAAGTTTCTCCCATGGAAGTCAGGATTGTGAATGTCATTGAGAAAGCTCAGACAGCTCTTAGAAAATGGGTAGTCTTGACTCCAGGGGAGTCTTGTTTGTCTTCAGATTATTTTCAATTGCAATAGAAAAGTTGAGTATACACATCAAGAAGATCATTCACATTGATTTAAATTATTTTCTGAAAATAAAATACTTTTTTACAGTATTTTCCTTATCTCCATTTGCTGCTTCTCCTACATGCATACAGATAGTATGCTTGTATTTGACTGTGTCTGCACTGAGGTGAGAAAAGCAATAATAAATGTTCCCCCTAGAGTTCTGTCTGTTTCAACTCCACATTTAGCTTGCTCATTTGTTTCCTTAGAAGAATTTCACTTTTAGTTCTGAAAAGTCTTGTGTGAAAAACTTACGGTACATTTGAATTCTCCAGGTTGTGATAGATACAGAAATGAGAGAAGAATAATGATTTGCAAGTTAAAATGTTCTGGTTATAATTAATAACATCCTGAGTTCTAAAATTGTCTGTAGCTAGAGGCAAAAGTCTCTTGTACAGCCACTGAAATGTCATTTCAAAGTGAATTGCAGTATGATTCTATACTTACCTAAGACAAATATATGTTTAGCTGCTTCACTGAATGTAAATACTAATATGTAGCTGCATATGTAGTCTACATATTAATAACAATCAGAAATTTTACTCTTAATAGTGACTAATTAGTGATAACCAGCAGTAATTCCTGAATAATTAATGTCTAGTAGTAATGCTGATATTATTTATGGCTGTTAAATAATTTAGATTTAGAACTTACTTAGGCTTGTGCTTTTATAAATTTTATCTTCCAAACAACCCCCCAAGTGACATTGTTCAAATTGCAATGTAGGCCACAGATGAAAACAGTGCTATTTTGTGTCTGCTTACTTGCTGTTGTGATTTAGCCAAAAGAATTTTCCTTGAGTTCTGTTCTTTATCTATATTCCTGAGTTGCAGAGAAAATAAACTGCAAAAACCTTGAGGCAAAACTTAACAAAACATTTTTAAGTCCTGTTTGTCCTAACTGGGATCTATACTCAACCTCTACAAGTTTCAGCTGAAAAATCTGTTTTCTTTTGCTTACCCATCTAAGTTAATTGTAATAGGAAAGCTAGATAATATATAATTTGCATGAGGTAAAGAGTGCAAAAATATTTATGCACCAAATTCCAAACTGTGAGAAAACTCATTGTCTGAACATGTTGTCCCTGCCACACTGCTACAAAGAAAGGTACAAATCAAAAATAGCTGTTGTGTGTTGGATTTAAAAATACAAGTTTATCAGCAGGTTTCTCCCTCTTAATTTCAACTGTACTTTTACATGGGGCCCTATTAATAAATACTGAGTGTAAAAGGACACTATTGATAAGGTTTGTATTTTTTTGGTGCTAGTTCTGCCAAAAATATTTAAAAATTAACTAATGCCACATTTTACCATGGTTTTGTATGAAAAAAATTACAGATTAGATCCAAGTCAGTCTATTGCTCACTCTGAGTTGTAATAATTCTTTAAGGCTGAATATCATGTTATTGGAGTCGCTTGCTTTCCTCTCTCCCCTTGTTTGGCTTGTGAACTTTTCCTTCTTAGAAGCATTTTTTCCCTAATGCTTGTTTTGTTTTATTAGCCCATGTGTGGAGAAGACACCTCCTCACCTTACCACAGCCAGCTAAGGAAGACAGTTTTGTGTTCAAAATGCAATCGAGTTAACCAGTGTACTGCCCGTTTCTGTGACTGGTGTGGAGCCAAGGCACGTGCTCCTGGTGTTCACGTGGACAAATCTGGTTTTGCTTATCTGTGACCTGCAGCAATTTCAAACTCCTCTTTGCTAAACTCTTGTCAATTAGTACACAGCTTATTATTATCTAGATACTTGCTTAGAACACATAGGATTATGTACAGAAAAATGAAAGGTTTGGATGACATCCTGACCCTACATTGGTCAGTGACTTAAGGGTTTAGAGTTGTAAACAACTTACTATGGCTCAACAAATATCAGCTGAGATGCAATAGCTGACGTAACTTACCATCAAAGGTTAAATGCAAATTTTCTGATAACTACTCTGGGCTACAATCACCTATATAAGCAATTACTAGGCATGAGATGATGCATGCAATTGTTGTGGCTGAAGGCCTCATTAACTGCAGTAAAGACAAGTACATAACTGCTGCTCAGTAGAGATTGGGCATGGTACAATCAGTGTGAACAATTTCCCCTTGTACAGTGTTTCAGTCTAAGATCATACTCAATGAGCAATTTTTTTCTATGAGCTGAGTGCATATAAAATTTGAAACACTCCCCTATAGATGCATAAATAACCATTGGTCCTGTACTGTCCCAGGGGACCCAGAGGGTGGGGATGGTGTTAGAATCGAACTGGAAAGAATTGCAGTCAATATTCAGCATGGGAACACCAGACTAATAATTACAGGGCTTTGCCAAATGAAATCAGTAGTTTTGAAAGTATATGTTAAAAACTAACACGCCAGAATGCTAGATCTGTATGAAAAACTCTGCCTCCGTAGCATAGTGCTGAAGTATCTGAAGATTTACTGTCTTGCAACAGCCAGTGTGTTAGCAATCTGGTATCCTGATTAATGTTCCTAATGTAATAGCTTTAGGTAGTGGTACTTCACTTCCTTTTAATTCATTCTTCTACTTTTTATCATTCCTGGACCATGCATTGTATGCCTCTCTAGTGACAAGTGTTTCACTGAACTTTCCAGCCCGGACCTCCTCCATCCTACTTTACTTGTTTCAAGTGTGGAACAAGCAACCAGCCATACGCTCACTTCTGCACGTCCTGTGGTGTGTACATAGAGCCCCCATCAAGGAGGGGCTCTCAGAATGGCACTCTCTTGGATTCTGGGGACTCCTTGGGATCTCCTGAGGTAAGACACACAGGATTTACAAAGCCAGGTTCCAACACAGATGTCAAGTTGGTCCATTGTGGCTCTAGATTGGCACAACTCCGTTCATTTCCTTAAGGCAATGCTGTGGTCGGTGAGCACAGTGAGGGCAAAACCGAGGATCTGTTTTTTCTGAGAACTGTTTTCTGCTGAAAAGCAGCCTTAATCCACTTAACCAACCTCATTCTAAACAGCAAAGTGAGAAACAATCAACTTGTCAAAATCTTAGCTCTTTAAATATTTTTGTCTTATTACTTGTGAATCATTTGTAGCCTGCTGGTACAACGTATTCTTTCATACAAATGTAACAGGGTTTTCAAAACTGTTTCAAGAAAGACCACAATACTTGACAAGACCAGCTTTTGCCCTACAAAAACATACATGTCTACTGGTAATCATGAACAATTTTGGTTTTGCTTGAATATTTATGCTAAATTGCATTGCTGTTACAGACTAGTAATTAAAATCAGGAATTGTTAATGATTCTTCCTGCTAGCTTTTTCATTCCTTCACAATTTTTTTGTATTGTTCTAGTTAAGTTCCACTTGTAAGCCATTTAATTGTATCTAATTATATTAGTTACACTTTCCTTTCCCCACCACCCCCCACAGGCTACGAGATTACAAGCTCAAGTTGCCTGGCAACCTTGGCCCGTTTCCTTGCCCAAATCAAAGGCAGCACTAACAGAAAGAGAAGATAAAGGAACCCAAACCATTGGACTTTTTTACCCCTCTAGCAAACTGTTGGAAAAGAAGGAGCTTGAGCTGATTTTACAAAAAGAAAAGCTGGAAAAGATGAGTGATCATAAGCCTCTCCTGACAGCTATTAGTCCTGGAAAAGGTTAGAAGTTCTGATTTTCTAAACAAAGCTGCAATTTATGACCTTGCTTTTTCTTGAAAATATTGTAGTCCGTGGAATGTGGCATCAGTAGGACACTGATTTACATCTTTACAAGTCTGTATTCCACCAGTCACTGGTAAATGCAGTGCCTTATAATTCAATCACTGATCTTCATCAAAGCTACAAGGAAGCTATCAGCAATATCATAATTTTAGTTACTGGGCCCTGTGCAGCCTTACTAATTTGCTAGTAGTTTGATTTCCTTGGATCCCACAAGATCAGGGATGAGAGTCCTGTATTTGAATTGGAACTCACTGAACAGCCACCCCACCCCAGCTCCCAGCACCCTCCCCAGCCCCAGCAATGTGAATTCCAGTTAGAGGTGTGATACTTCAGGGAGTATCAATAACCAAAGTTTTGAGACCCAGGGGATAATACCTCTTGAAAATATGATGAAACTTGTCTATCATAGAACCATACAATTTTAGGGGTTGTAATGGACCTTACAGATCAGCTAGTCCCAACCCCCTGCCATGGGCAGGGACATCTCCCCACTAGACCAGGATGCTCAAGG